CAAATGTGATAAAAACAACATCTGGATGATAAAACCGATGTACCAATCGGGTTCGAGTCCCGTTGCGGCTGCTAATGAAACACCATAATCCATACCGGTTGCGATGAGAATACCTTTGTGCGAAATTCAAGATACCAAAACCAAGATGGTATGGTCGCGGTCTACTTTCGATGTATAGAAGTGGGTTGGACTCGTTTTGGCAAATTGGTCGTGATGCCATGGCGACTTAGTTTTGACGCGTCAATGTCCAAGTCCTCTGCTGTGGCAGCTAGCATGATTTCAGGCGCTGTCGTGTCTTTTGATGAGCTGTGTCTTGGCGGCTGAAAATGGCAAGACTCACAGGCCATGTACCAAGTCCACGGTCCGAAACTGTAATCATGACAACCACTATGGCAGACGACTTCGGACTAGGTTTGTCCTTCCAAGTCGCCTTGACAACACGACTAAGTAGCGAAAACGAGGTCAGCCCACTTGTCTGCCAAATGCACTGGAGCGAAGAGTCTATTTTTGCAATTATTTGCCAATTCAACAATCAATTCTTGGTACATTATGCCAACTCGAACGCGTGTTCACTTTCTAAAAGGCTTGCATTTACATTTCAGGAAACGTCTGAAGCCCAGCCGAGCCCATCTGAATGCAGTCTACGAGGCCGGAGGAGGTACAACTCGAACAGCCCCGTTGGTCTCTTGAGGGCGCACCGTCGGCAAGTGAACTTGCATTCTACAAAAGTCCCGCGAAAATAGATAAAATTCCTGTTTTGTAGTCATAATTTCGACTTGAAGTCGACGCACATTTCGACCAAACGGTCATGCCACCATTTGTCCCCTTGACCCGCCCACCCAGACGGGCAGAGCGCCACACAATCATGTCTTCATCGTGTCACCTTTCCACGATTCTGCCCTGCTCCTTGTACCGTGCAAGCCCTCGACTCTAGACTGTGTTACTACAATTAATCTTTTAGGGAATAGCAATAAAGTCTCTCTGAAACCGCCTCGTTCTTTTTTTCACTTTCTCCTCTCCCCTCGCTCTATCCTCTACCTCGTTGCGCCCAACAGATTCAGGCTTCTGCTCGAATGCACCATGCTTTTGCGCTATTTCGTAAAGTCACGATGGTACCAACGAATGACAGCAATTCATTCACCCCTTCCAGGCGACTTTCTATTTGAATTGTAAAGTCGCGTCATACTAACTTGCTAAGACGAGTCTTCGAAAGTGACATTTTATTTATAAATAAAACTAGTTGCCACGTGGCCTGACAAGAAGAGACAAATAAACAATTGAGGTTATAGCGACAAGGGAAGAGAGACAAGAAGAAACCAAACATGCACACAATTAAGCCCGAGCAGGGCGACCAAGTCTAGGTCACCACGGCTTGAAGTTGAATCTCTGCAATCTCATTGGTTCATTCGCTTGTCAGCACAACTCATCGAATGACTAGGCTTCCGCGTAAAAAATGGCCGCTACCGATTGGTGGACGGTTCTCGTGGCGGTGCTCTCACGACGATGCGGCCGGTGTCATTCGAGAAGAGGCGCCCTCAAAAGGCTCACTTGAATGAACACATTTCCGTGGGGATATGAAAACCCAGCTACAAAGTTTGTCTAAGCTTGCATCAGCTTTCATCGCTGCCTAAACACATCTTCTTTTGGTGTGTTTTTTAAACTCTACTTTTCTGCACACCCCTGTATGCCTGTCTGTCTGTATGTCTGTCGGTCGGTCTGTTTGTCTGCTTGTGCATGCACTTGACTCTCTTTCTCTCAATGTGTCATTGTAACTTTCGCCACTTCTCTGTCTCTGCCTCTCTACCTAATTGTCCATATGTCCGTCTGTATGTGTGTTTGGATGTCGCGAACCACCTTTGTGACTTGTCCATGTTGGGATTAAGGAGGATGTGTTTTTTGCCCAACGGGTTGTGCTGTACTTGGGACCAACATGGGCGTTAGCACACAGTGAATGTGGTTGTCATTTGACGAATGACCAAGGACGCAGATCAAATTGTGACAAAAAGTATGAACGTTACCAAATCGCAGCAAATGTTGGGGAAAGTCGCAAGCGCACACGATTGTTGAAAGTTCTGTTAAAATGGTTTTATCCACTCACCTCCACAATTGCCTCTTCTAGCTTCTGACCCTATTCGATAGCTTCTCTGTGCCCAGCCAGCTTCAATGCTGACCTTTTGGAATAGCGACGAAATTGGACAAATTGAGATGCCAAGCAATCGAGTGGTGCGTTGGAGATGTCTGCAAACTGATCGTGAACAAAATCATTCTGCTCATTGTGCTCGAGTCTTATCTGGTCTGAGTTTGGTGATTATTTTAGGCATCATTCACATCCGCCTCCCCATGCCCATCTTCATTCTCATCTTTGCTATCATCATTCTGCTCGTAGAACTCCTATTCACCTCTTCAGTTCACGCATCAACTAACCACCAAAGAGTGCCATTGAGTCAAGACAAATGCATAAAATAGATACTAACAGAACTGCCGGTGAGCTGATGAGAATAATGATGATGCTGATGAGGATGATGCCTCGATTCTCGTCAAACTTTGCGTAAAGTTAAAAGCGAGTGAAAATGGTGTAAACTCAATCAAAACCTGCAAGACATTTGATACAGTTTTTGGCCGGTCGGATGTCATTTTCCTACGTCCAGTCTGGGCGAGTAGTTTTCCAAATGACGTGTTCTGATAGACGAGATAGAAAAGCGCCACACAGAGTCATTGTTTGAGGAAAGTAAGTCTAAACGGCCTGACAAAGCATGTCTACAAAAGAGCAGGAGACGTTGCACCGACGAGCGACGAATTCGGCCCAAGGACAAAGAAGAGAGTGCGCACATTCGCGAGGTGGATATGGGCACTGAAAGAAAGACCATGTGAAGTGTAACGGAAACGTCCGGTCTACTCACATGATTGTGAGTAGATTGATTGATCGCGTTAAAAGAAAAAGAGTCGCTGTACCGAATGATTAAAATACCAAACGGGGGAGCCAGTCACACACGCAAGCTGGGATGGTTGGAACAACAGCAAATGCCAGTAGCCCACTGAAGATGCGCCAAGGCGGCATTCGAATGATCTGTCTCGAAGTGGTCCGGCGACGTGCAACTTCGCTCCGATCAGACGCAACAGTCTGTCGCCATGGCCTCATCAGACGACAACCGAAGGACTCGTCGACATTCGCGCTCCGATTGGACGCCAACAGGCGAGTGTGATTGGCCATTTGCACGGCAAGTTGCGCGTCATGTGGAGGGGTGGAGGGTGGGCAAGGGTGTCGGCCCGCAAAGTGGCCAATGGCACGTGTTTCTCCGCCGGCGGCAACGGCCGGTGGCCTCGTCTGGCGCGTCGAGACGCCGTGCGATTGCCGCCAGCTCTCGGCGCGCGACTCGAGCCCGCATCGCATGCTTCAGGTGGAGACACGCCCCGGCAACTGGGCGGCAATACAGACGGCGCCATGGCGACAGGACGAGATGGACGCCGTTTCATGCCTACTTGGCTCACCCGTTTGCCAGCGCTGCTGTATGGCTGGCGAGGCGGAGCACGAGCCGGGCTCGAGTCCCGTTTGTGGAGGCCATCGCGACCGGACGAGCCGAGGCCGAAACTGCGGCGCTGATTAGCTCGTTTGCATAAACTGTATCGTGAAAAGGGGTATTTCGCATACAATTGCCCAACTGTACGATTCGCAACGGCGC